GTTTTAATTTTATTAATCGATAATACAATTTGTATTTTTTGAGAGTACAATATGTAATCTAACCCGAGCACAAAACAACAAGACTTAGAAGATGCACAAGACTCTGTAATACAGCAAGATTCCGTTGTTTTCTCTCCTTGATGGGAGGTGATGAGGGCTTGTTTTCAAAGGAGGCTTTGAATGAGGTGAGCATTGATGGTCCTGACTTAGCACTCGAGTTCCGTTGGGTGTTGTCGATGGTGGATGGTTATGGTCAGAGGCTGGGGACGTTGATATTGATGACAGAAATATTTTTTGGTTTCCATGCTTGAGATGTGGAGGAGACTATAGGGTAGAGTTTTCTTGTACTGACCATTGGATATCTACGGCAATGGATCTTCTGGGGGTTGATGTGTAGGGGCCGTGGTGGCAAAGGCTGTGGCTGCTATTTTCTCAGCAAAAAAATCAAGGTGCAATCAGTTTTTTTGGCAGAAATCTTAGCAACAGATTTGAGTCTTTTAATTTTATTTGTTTCCTAATAGCGCTAGTTTCCATTTTTTGAGATATCTTAGGATTTAGGCGATTATGAGAGGATTATCAAGAAGAAAATTACTAAAAAAATTTTGTTTCCATCTTTAGCAAATCTTTTAATTAGGGCTATACACAATATGAGTTGGATTGAATTTTAACACTTTTAAAACTAAATCAATTTAATTGGTTGACAAAATTTTCAAAACAATCTAATTCAATATAATCAAATTTATACAACTTATATCAGATGTGTGGTTGATTCAAATTAATTAATTTTTAATATTATTTTAAATATGTTTAATTAAGTTAAAAAATTATAGCAACAAACTATAGAAAATCCAATTATACAATAATATCTTAAACAACAAAATGATAGTACCAATTACTATATGAAATAAAAATTAAGAAGACGACAATAATAATAATAATAATAATAATAATAATAATGTTTTATGCTACTGTTATAATTATTAATGAAACTTTGCTGTGTATTGCATCCATTGTCATTAAGATTTTTATGCTGTTATATAACAGACCGATTTAGAAGAAGAAAAGGCACAAGAAATTTCCAAGTTACATGATGCTTTGCATGCTATGCAAATGCGAGTAGAGAAGGGAAATGCTAGAGTAATAAAAGAACGAAAGGCTGCTCGGAAAGCTATTGAAGAAGCACCTCCAATCATTAAGGAAGCTCCTGTTATAGTTCAAGACACAGAAAAGGTTGATCAGCTGACAGCTGAGGCAAAGAGTTTGAAGACACAGAAAAGGTTATCAGCTGACAGCTGAGGCAAAGAGTTTGAAGACACAGAAAATGTTATCAACTGACAGCTGAGGTAGAGAGTTTGAAGGTAAGAAATCTAACATGGAATAATGCTTTGCATTCTATATTGAAATTGGGATAGAACTAAAAGAACTAATTTATAATGAATCTTGATCACCGCTTCTTTTAGTGGTGTGTTTGAAGGTAAGATCAAATCCACAAAATGGCCATTGAATTCAGGAATATGAATATCAGGGACAAGAAAAAATACTTAACTGCTTAGTGATTGCTTGTTAGGAATTTAATTCACAACAAGAAGTTCAGAGATATATTTCGTGAATAACTAAATCTATTACATTTCTATCTTTGCTTTATTTATTAGTATTAAATAATATTTAAGTGCAAGATACTGCAGCTTATGCCTTAACATATAATCAAACAATTTGAGCAACGATTGGCTTAATTTAGTTGGTCAATGTTTCACTGAACTTATAGTTGGAATCTTTATAACAGTTGCAAAAAAGAAAACTTGCACTTGTTTTTCAGCCAATATTCTGTATCTTAAATATAATTTGTGAGTGGAAGTAATCATCAATGAGAACTCACCCAACAATGATCTTGCGGAGTCACCTGATACAGTAAACTTTTTACTGTACAGGCTTCACCGCTATCAAAAAGACAAGCAGCAGACAAGGCCAAGAAAGCTTGTACAGTTGCCGAAGTAAGGAATGCGAAGCTGGTTAGGAAGCTTGAAGATGCAGAGAGAAAAGTGAATCAGCTTCAGGAATCTTTGCAGAGGTCCGTTAACACTCATTGGAGAAGAAATCTTTGCTATTTCAGTAGCACTATGTTTATACATGGTTAACGTCACACATACACTGCTCATCCCAATAAACTAGAAATTGAGAGCATGGTTTTGAAATCTTTGATATTAGTCCCGAGGTGTTAAAATTTTCTGTATTTTGGTTATTACGCGTAAAGATTCTCTCCAAACCAAGAGTGCTACATCTAAAATTAGAAATAGGATCTTGGATGGGTGTTTATAAAGGTAAACCCACCACCAACACCACCTAGGTAGGGCCTTTTAAAACTGTGAGTCCCATTTCGACAAGACAGATCAACCAATATCAATAGCAGTGTTGGAGCACTTTGGTTTAGAGCAGTCATGTAGTTACCCATTTTTAAACATCAGCTAGATAGAAGCTTGTTTGCCCATTTCTGAGCGAAGTTTTGGCAGACACCATCATCCCTTGCAGAAGCACTTGTTTGGACAAATGGAGGCTTGTGGTTCAATCTCTAAATACTTCAGAATTAAACCCAAAAAATATGAAAAAATAGTAAAGCATGAAAGAAGCAATAACATATAATTTTGGCTCGACTCATTGAATTTTGTATGCACTATAACAGATGTACATATGAAGGATGAATCACAGGAAACGGATGCATCAAAACGAAACAAACTAAGGCATGAATCAAGTAAGGAAATAGATATGTCAAGAAAGGAAATGGATATCAGAGAAGTACCTCAACCATTCAATATAGAGCACTGTCTAAGGAAGAACTCAGCAACGTTCAAAGGCAACAGTCATACACGAGTTTTGGCATGTATTTCAAAAATAATATAGTTACAATATTACTTCACATTTTAAACTTATAACATGGTATGTCATTACAAAATTGGCTCTTTTTATTAGGGGATCCACCTATAATATCATACATATCTTTTCATTTACGGACACAACATGAATATTGTTAGTTTACAATCCTATATGACATTATAATTATAGCATTACAACTTGTATCTAGGATCTAAATGAGTATTGCAAATTATATATACTGATTCCAGTGTACAAAAAGACATGCAACTTCTCCAAGAAATTGAATGAACAAAACTTCATCTTACATATCTTCCTGCTCGTCGTCAGCAGCATCTGAAGGTTTCTGCTCCTTTTCCTTAATAAGTCCAAACTTTCTAAGAATCCATAAATTCATGCGAACAACATTTCCAATGAAAACAACTCCCATCAAGCACAACCATGTCAAGACTGATATCTGAGTTACATCATGCAGCATACTATGGGACTTAGCTGGTGATATGTACCGAAAAGAGAGGAAGTATGTCATTCCCTGTGCAGTAATAGCTACCCACATAATAACCATTTGTATCCACATCCATCTCCTTCTCTTAATTGGTAGCCCACTAATAATCAGGAGGATTATGCTTAGAGATGCAAGGAAAGCAATTGTGTTGAAAATCATGAACTGACCGTAGCCAAACGGATCCTTTTCTGCCATAACAGAAGTTCCTGCAGTGTGAGGTTCCTGGCTTCCACGGTCATCTCCAACAAGGTCATCTTGCCAAACACCCCCTGGGGGAGTAATTGCAGCTTGGAAGGCCACAGTTGCAATCAATGACGATACCACCATCAATGCACTTCGCTTCCTGTCAAGCCAATCAGTGTGCTTTTGTTTTGTTACCAGCTTCCTTGAATTGCTTTCGTTCAAGAATTGATGGGAGACCAGAGACCTTGTCATCTGAGGAACTTTTGCTAGACTTGGAACCCACTCACGCGTGATTATATGTAGATCCTTTGCACATAAAACTCCGGCTCCTTGAAGAGTGCTTTCAATCTCCATGTCTCTCAAGTCCCTCGGACTCTGTATCAGAACGTCTAATGCTGTGGAGTGATTCACATTCAATGCATTTACATCCAATCCGGTAATAGCAACCAAAACCTTTATGATCTGCAAAATTTCAACAAACATTTTTCTCAAACCAAATCTAATTAAAACCAATCCTTTGCATCACTATTATTCATTATCAAGTAAAAACAGCCAGAGAATTCGAAATCGATAATTAATGAGTTTAATCTCTTCATCGGCATTTACACAAACATCTAACAGACACAAAATAGGGAAGGAAATCATCTTTCGAGCATACCTCAATCTGCTTCCTGGACACAGCAACATGCAACACAGTATTACCTTCAGAATCTTTCCAATTCAGCAATTGAATATTTCCATCAGTCTCTTCAACCAGAAGTTTCAGCACCTGAAACCTATTATGCTTCACACACAAGTGCAGCACCGTTTCATGTCGATCGGTCAAGACCTGGATAGACTCCGGCTTAACTCGGACCAACTCATTCACCACCTCCATCCTCCCCTTGATGGCTGCCACATGAAGCGGTGTCCTACCATCCTGGTTCCTTACCATGCACATCTCTGGATCCACCTTTACCAGCTCTCTGACAATCTCCAGGTGCCCCTTTGCAGCCGCCAGGTGGAGAGCAGAGCAATTGAGAGAGTCAAACTCGGAGACCAGTTCGGGATTGAGACGCAGTAGCTCCTTTACGAAAGCGAGGTGGCCTAACATGGAGGAAAGGTGGAGAGGGGTGTCGGAGACACAAGAGACGACCGTCCGGTGAAGAAGCAGGGGTTCTTCCCTGAGAAGTTGTGAGAGGGATGCAATATCTCCTTCCATCGCTGCATCTAATAGCCTCTTCTCCATTTTCCCTCCGTCTCAGTGGTCCCCCGAAAGCAAAGGACTCGAAATCCTCTCGATCTTTGCCCCTCTGTTTATTAAATCCGATCATACAGGGCAAACCGCCATGGCCAAGGACGGAACAGAAGTGGGAAAGTGGGTAGTGGTGGCCCACTTTTGAGAATGCTTCGATCAAACGTTTTGTAGGACCCATAGAAGGTTCCATTTGTCCATAGTTCGTTGACGGTGGTGTCAACGACCCATTAACAAGATATTTATATATTTTTTTCCAGTAAACAGTAGGGCGGAAAAAAGAGATAAGGAGAGAAAATTCTTTCGTCCAATCAAATTAAAACAAATTAAAAACTTTCGTATGCAGTAAACCACTTAAATAACTCAATTAACTCAATGATTATCTTTTTTACTAAAAGTAAAAATCTTTAAATTCAAATCACATAGTATGATATACAATAAAAAAATAATAATAATACCAAGAGTTGGATCAAGTGTTAAGCAACTTGTTCCACCTTAAGTAAGGTATCGAGTTCGAGACCTTGTGAACGCAGCAGCCCCCGCTGGGAGACTCACCTACCATTTCCAAATGCGCGACGCGGGTCGGATCCAGATTAGTCGGAACGAAACCCCGGATACCGTACGAAAAACCAAAAAAAAAAATAATAATAATAATAATTATTTCTCATTACGTTAAAAAAAAAAAAAACCCTTTCATTAATTCCCTTCTTTTACAGGCTCTAGATACCAACTTGATTCACAGCAATATCTCACGGTAGGTGACTTCAGTTTATATTTATCATGCCTAAATAATTAAATTCTTGAGATCCTTTTTAGACAAGGAAATATTACATTTCCAATCCAGAGTTGAATAGAATACACAGTTCAGAGCCTGCAAACTATCAAATATAAAGATGATCCAACTTACAGTTCCAAGATCAAATAAACTGTCCAATAGAATAACATAAGCTTGCCACAAGAAAGCTTGACCAAATACACAGTTAGCTTCTGACTAGCATGATAGAATTACGAGGGGCGAAAACTTGTCCACCTCTTTTTATTGTCAAGGGCGTGCTCGCTTGTTGCTGCAAGAGGGGCACTTGTACTGCTTGATGTGCTCAGCTCTGGCAGGAGTGATCTTCACACACTTGCCATGAAACCACTTCTCACATATGTCACAACAAATCCAGAACTCATCTGAAGCATAATTCTCTCCACATGCTCCGCACAGTGTTTCACCATGCTCCTCATCTTCTTCCTCGTCTAATCCCTCATCCTCATCCTTTGCTGGCAGTTTGTTTGAGAATTTGCTGGATTCAGACCCTCGCTGTATTACATTCATTGTAAAATCAAAATAAAGCAAATAAGTATGTATACCATGCCATACAACAGAAACATGGTCTTTAAGACCAAGACAATCAAACCATGGAGTGATAACCCAAAAAGAGAGTGCTTTTAGTGCAAAGACTTAGCTCTGAAATGAAAAAGAAGTCAATAGGGAAGCAATTAAGAATCTAACAATCATTAAAGGGATTTCTAGCATAAATTCAGCTGCTGAAATAAAAAAATAAATACTCAACAAAACCAACTCCACTTGATAAAATTGGCATGTGAACAAAAGAGTAGAATAATAGAGAACGTGAAAAGAATATTGCACTAATTAGTCTTTCATTCTGACAACATCAACTTAAACACTACAGAATGGAATATTGGATTATAAAATTGGAAAGTTGAACCAACCAAGTGAGTTCCTTTCACAGTAAAAACTATTCTTAGATGGTAATGAAATCTTAAAAAATCTAAAACAACAAAGCAAAGTATGGTAACTGGAATCCGTTTTCAGCAGACTTCCAATGAAATCCAATATAGGAAAGAAGATTAACACCTTTACAAATGAAGCCAAAAGGAAAGAGAGAAGAAAATGGATTGTTCCCCGAAACAAATTTTTTATAGTATCTTTAACTTAGTAAACTTCTGTAGAGCAGAATAGAACCAATGCTACTTAGCATTTGATTTGGACAAAAATTTTCAAATTTTATCCCAAAAAAAAAAAAAAAAATCTTCACAATTAGTATCAGAATAAGTACATGTAACTTAAGGATAATAGACATTTGCCCAAAAATTGAAAGATAACAAACAGCAGAGTTTATGTTCTCCAGGATTGACTCACATACAAATATATAGTTAGGTATATGATGAGGTAAGTGGATAACAAACCATGGCTAGTAGTAGATTATAATCAATTTTTAAATAGAATGGTTTACAGGATAAGAAACAGTCCCTTTCTGGACATTGACACAACCATGGTCAATGTTTGAATTAAGTTAAACAGTCAAAAATCTAATAAGTTAAGTCTTTTTTTACCCCTTTTATGTCTGACTTAGATTTATTGCTGCTCTGATGAGTTGAAACCGTTGATTTCTCCTTTGCTTGCTTCTTGGCACTTCCGGTCACAACTTCAAATATTGTAGGGAGTTCATTTATCATAGTGAACAAACGTTTCCTGCCACAGAAGTAAATGTATTGTAATACAACGTATTAGCACACTAACATACCAAAAGCGACTAACTTCATAAGAGTCCTTATTATGAATGAAGTTGCAACTTGCAAGTTCCTATTTCCTATTATATAAAGCATTAAATACACAGAATTGAGGCTCCACCTAATTTCTAACTAGAGAAGTGCTAATACACTAGTTCCACGTGAACTGATTACACAAGATGAAACCCAAGAAAGACACATGAACAACAGAAAAACTTACATTAAATACCAATTCCTCTATTTTTATTTACTAATTTTTCTCCTTGGCAAGTTCTAAATGTAAGATTTTGACAAGCTTCACCCTCCCTTCACCACAGGTCAGTAGAGAAGTGTCACCCATGACCCACCCCTTTTATCTTGACAATCTACAACAAGATGTTGCATGTCAAATCTACAACACAGCAATACCACCTCCTACATATCTGAATCAAAATTACATGCTGCTGCATTATAAGGGAAAAGGAATACCTGTCAGTTTTATCAAAACCAAATCTTGCTCCAAAATAGAAGGCCACTGCTAGTAGCCATGCATCGCTGTGAACAGCAACAAGAGACAACCAATCCTTTTCCTGCATCCCATCTCTAGCAAAGTTAATACCTAATGCAGGCTCGGGCAGCTCCGGAGGCACTTCCTCAGCAGGCAAATTAACTTCCCACTGTTCATTAGGGAATCCATACAAGCAAAGATTCTCCTTCTCTGAAAGACATAAAATCAGTTAAATACCATAGAAATCAAGCATTAATCAAGTACATTACTTAAACAAGTCAGCCACCTAATTCAGCTCTAGCAACAATAGATCAATACAAATGACAAGTGCCTCCAAGAAGCATACAATTGCAAAAGGAAAAAATAAATAAATAAATAAAAGGGCGTTTTCTAGCTTCTCAAGTTCTACTGTGAGTGCAAGACTATGCATTGAATGTCCACATGCTTAAACAAGTCAACTGACTAATTCACTTTCAACAAGAGTTCATCAATTCAAAGGAAACAACAGCATGCATCTTCAAGCAGCATAATTGAACCAAAAAAAAAAAAAAAAAAAACCTCATAGCTTCTCAAGCTCTCTTAAATGCCTCAACTAACTCCAATGCATAAAAGTATAAAATTTTCGTCAAGAAGCAAGTAAAACTAACATCTAATTTAGAATGATTTAAACATAAAACTAAAATTTCCCATCTATGATTTATCCCAGGACTGACTTTTTTCGGAATTGAATTAACAACGCCAAGCTGCTAATACCCCAATATAAACTTAATCAATGACCCTAACACATTGCAACTTTTAACCAAACCAAGACCATGGATTTTCTACAGAAATTAAACCAACGAACAGGGAGACAGAGAAATACTAACCAGGATCACACTGCTGGTAAAATTCTTCAACATCTGCAACAGAGCACCACGAGAGAAAATAACTGAATAAGTACAAATCAAAATGCGGGAAAAGATAAACAAAACCATTCAAAAACCCTAAAAAACCCAAAGCCAACGCAACCGAAACCAAAAATTGAGAGAAAATAAGACGAATAAAAATAAGAAGCGAGTAAAAGACCGTTCGTTAGGGCTTTGATCATGCCAGCTCTCCGGCCCTTGAAATCTCTGAACACCTCCTCCACCGTTCTCGGATTGTACTGCGTCCCTCCGTCCATCTCTGATCGCTCCGACGGAAGAACGATGAACGGAGAAACGAGGGAGAAAGAAGAAGGGAAGAAAACGGAGAAAGTATTTTCAGGCTGTATTCCAAGAATGAGAACTATTGAACTAACATCTCAGTCCCAGCAGCCAGGACAGAAGAGAAGACTACCGATAATGTTAAATAAATTGAAAAAATATTTTGCAGTCCGAAACTATTTTAAATTATAAAACATTTAACGTGCTGATATTGACTTGATAGCCTTTTTTTTATAGAAAAATACTTGTTTTATAATGTAAAATAAATCATATGTAAAATAGTAAACTCTGAATAAATATTAGTATATACGTATATTTTTATTTTAAATAATTCGGTCCGACCGAAATTGGAATCCAGGGGTCCACTTCCCTTTCGGTTATTTTTTCACAATTTTTGCTTTTAAGTGTAAATTTAGATTACAAAATATCTCACATAAATTACAGATAAAATTTTTATCTTGTCTTACGGTGAGAGAAATTTTATTATAGCTAGAGATGCCCAAGATTGGATTGGATCCTTCTAGGAAAACTTGGAGAAATCACAAAGATGAGCTTATTAATAAATAAATATTATTTTATAAGTTAAATTTAAAATAAATTTTAAAATTGATATATGACACGAAAAGAATTTATTTTTTATTTATGCAAAAGTTGAATTAAAGAAATTTTAACAATAAATAATAAAAATAAAGAAATTTTGAGAAATAAAGTAGCTAGATTCCTAAAAATGTTTTGTATAGCCTAGAGCCCGAAATTAGGTTATAAATAACTTAAATTTTTATAAGAGTGTTTTTCTAATATGTGGTCTAAGGATATAATTAAAGTTAAAAGATGTAATTAATATTTTTTTTAATTAATTTGTATGAAAAAATAAGTGTTGACTTTAAATTAATTAATTAATTAATTAAAATTATTCACATATTAATAGTATTAAAATAAGGGATTGTTTAAGTTGTACCTTAAGAGTACATATTAAGAGAGTCTTAAATATATTTTTTATGTATTAATTTACATAGAAAAATAAAAAAATAAATATTAATTTTAAAATTTATAACACATGAATATTTTTTATTAACCAATTGATAAAATTAATGTCAACTTTTAGTTTTTACTATGTATATTATTGAT